GACAGGCGGGCTTCGCACGCCCCAATGTCAGTTTTCTGGAAGGTGTTACTCGTGTCCATTCACTCAGCACGCATCTACTGAGCGCTTCCCTGTGCACCGGGATCACGCAGGGAACAAAGCCATCGGCAGCCTCCTCCCCAGCCTTACATTTAGTGGGGGGAAGACCCGCCTAGAGGTGCAGCCAGTGGCGTCTAGGAGATGCAGGTGGGATGAAGGGACCCGGCCTGGCCGCTGGCTGAGCCAGAGGGCCCTGATGCAGGAGCAGGCAGGAGGGTTCTGGGGGAGGCAGGCACCATCCTCCTCCCAGTAGGGGTGGGGAAGGGAGCCCGGAAAGAATGTAAACGGGGATGTTTGAAGGGGAAGGATCCTTAGCTGAGCCCCTTCCCAGGCTGAGCAGTGGTCCCCACGGCCCAGGGCCCTGTCCTGCTCTTCTCTCACCAGCATTGGCCTCCTAGGTCTAAGGCAGCAAATGACCACGGTCTGGGAGGCTGGACACAGGCCTTGGTTCTGTCGCAATTCTGGAGATCAGAAGTCCAAACTCCAAGTGTCGGCCAGGCTGTGCTCCCTCAGACATCACGAGGCGGGGAGGGTCTGTCCGGGGCCTTTCTCAGCTCCTGGTGTGGCAGCAGCATGACCTGCCTTGGCCCGTAGCTGCATCACTCCAGCCTCTGCCTCTGCTGTCGCCTGGCGTTCTCCGTGTGTGTCCTTCTTCATGTGGCCTTCTTACACACACAATAGTCCTTGGATCAGGCCCATACTAACCCAACATTACTTCGTCTTAAGTTGGTTGTACTAAATAACTGTTGTCAAAGAAGGTCAATCCATGGGTACCAGGGTTAGGACTTGAACCTATTTTTTGGAAGACACATTTCAACCCATGGCCAACGCTCACACACGTCTCAGACAAAGGCCAACCTCCCAGAGCAGGGTCCTGAGTCTGGCTCTCCCCATGGGGACAGGGACAAAGTCTGTGCGGTGGGCCTCGGTGTCAGACATCCCTGTGTGGGCGGCAAGCAGGGGACGGAGCTATTCCAACTGCCACACCCAGAGCTGGAGCCCGGGACGCGGTCCTCAGGGGACGAAGGGCATTATGGCAGTATGTGTACAGGGCAGCAGCAGCTCCGCCTGAGTCACCAACCTGTGCTCTTTCCCTCCTGCCCGCCCAACCCCCCAGCACAGAAGGCCCTGGGTCACCCCTGTGAGGCAGGGGCTGGGACTTTAGAGGGAGAGCCCAGCCTCACGTCACAAATGACAGGGCCAAGATCAGCCTCCAGGCTGACCTCCCAAACCTCGAGGGCTGGGGGTGGGAGGAGTGCTCCTCAGGGGTTTCTTCTTCCATGACAAGGAGCCTCGTTGTTGGCATCCGTTTTAGCATGAGGTTTCTCAGTCTCAGCGTTACTGACGTTTGGGGCCAGGCAGCTCTTGGAGGCGGGGCATCCTGTGTACTGTAGGATATTCAGCCGCTTCCCTGGCCTCCACACCCTCCATGCCAGGAGCATTCCTTCTCTACCGGCAACCAGAATGTCTCCAGACGCTGCCAAATGTCCTGTGTTTAGTGGAATCAGGACCGGTGTCTGTGAGTCTCCTGGGCTCTGCGTCATGAGGCAGAGGCTGCCCAGCTCCAGGCACTCCCCCCCCTCCCCCGCCTTCAAGAGAGAAGGAACACGAGGGGCCAATCCAGCGGATTTCCACTCAGGTCTCACTTCCCTTAACCTCTCTGCGGTCCCCACCGGCCCACCCTCAAGTGGGGAGACAAGGCCTCCTCAAACGCTGTGGGCAGGACAAGCTGGGATCTCGGACAGGCCTGCCTGTTACTGCCCCTGGTGGCCTCGGGGAAGCCACTCTGAGCTTAAAACTGGGCTAATAGTACCACCAACGACAAGGGCTGTTTTGCAATTAAACCACCTAATCTAAGTACGTAACCCAGTCAAGGACCTGGCTCACAGCGGGCACTCCACGGCAACTGGCCTTCATTACTATTAGCGGTGAGAATTAACCACATGCAAGTGGCCAGCACTCAAAAACATCTGGTAAATGTTGGTGGCTGTATCTCCCACCTCAGAGCCTTCACCTTTTCTGTTTCCTCTACTCTCATGGCTCTGGTTCTCACCAATTCCCAGGGGCCTTTTACCCTCTTCCTTGGTCCCTGCAGGAAGCAGGGAGGCACGTGTTTTTTTTGTTTGTTTGTTTTTGTTTTGTTAATACTTTATTGCTTTTTTTTTTTTTTTTTACAGAGAGGAAGGGAGAGCGATAGAGAATTAGAAACCTCAATGAGATACATCAAACCAGGGCACATGCCCTTGACCGGAATCGAACCTGGGACCCCTCAGTCCCCAGGCCATCACTCTATCCACTGAGCCAAACCAGCTTTGGCGAGGCACGTTTGTTTCCTACGCAGTATCCCTGGGGCCGAGGACCTGCCTGGCCTGCCGGCTGACGGTGGCCCATTACATTAGGTATGAATTGGGTAAATAAATGACTCAGGTGGAGGTTGGTGACACTTGGGTCCAAACGTGGGGCTACCAGAGAGGTTGACGATGCCGAAACTTAAGGAATCAGGGGATGAATGAGTTAATGAACCCATACCTGGGCATCCGCTGCCCCCACCGCTATCCCTACCCTAGCCACTTCCGGGCGGGGCAGGAGGCGAAGTGCCCGCGGGAAACCCACCCGCCCGGAGCTGGACCAACATCGCGCCCGAGCCCCGTGCTTCCCGCGTTCGGACCCTGTGGCCCCGCACTGGGCGGCCGCCCCGGGCTGGGACCTTGGCGGACCCCTCCGGACCCGGCGCCAACACGTGCTCCACCGACGCCGCGCGCCGAAGCCGCGCAACCCGCGGGAGCACCGCCCCGCCTGGCTGGGGGGCGGGAGGAGAAGAGGGTGGGGCCGGCGCGGGGGGCGCTGGGACTTGTAGTTCCGGTGTCGCCGCCGCCCTCACCCACCGCCCGCCTGGAAGCGTGCGGAGAGCGCCGCGGATCCCGCCCCAGCTCTTCCTGGCCAAGGCCATCAGAACCTGTTTGTCACAAAAGGGGAAACTGAGGCCCAGCGACAGAACCCAGCCTGCAAAAGATCACGTGGTCGAGCCGTGGCCGCCTTCCCTGGTGCAACAAGTGTAGGTCACACTTTATTTTATTTTTAAAAGTTCTTAGTTATTAACTTTCTCATGAAAAATCTGCACAGTCGCCACAGATAAAGTCACTGAAGAATCTTTACTCCTTTTTTTTTTTTTGCTCCATTTTTGGCTTATAAGACCCCCTGACTTTCTTCATTCTGTTCTTGCTTTCCTGTCTCAGTTTCTTGAGTCTTCTTTTCATACAGGCCATGTCTTGTGAGTCCATGTTTGGGTTCATTTTTCCTTTCCTAACCCAAGGAATCATAAAGCCAGTTTGTTTTGCCACCACTGAAATGGGTTCCGAATCCAAATGCAAATACACTGCATTTAGACTAGTTTCCCTGAATTTCTGTCTCAGATACTGTCCTGTTACCTCCCAGGATGAAGGGTGTCATTGGCCCTTTGTTTTCCCTGAAGTCACCTGGTGTTCATGAACTTCCTGGACCAGGTAGTTACTGTGTCGCTCAGGGATGGTGGCTGATCTTCCAGCAGCCAGGGAGGAAAAGTGCTAGTCACACTTTCATCAAAGTTTTCAAAAACTGGTGGTTGGAGGGTCCCTTTCCTAGCTGAGGGCTCCCCTCGCCTCCCTCGTTCCATTGTGCATTCACTCACCTGTTTCCCGAGGGCCTCAGCTTGCCAGCTGTGTGGCAAAGGCCTGGAGGCAGTGTTGTGCCAGTGAGTTGGAGGGACAGTGAGTGACAAGAGAAGGGGGAAATGAGTTGACACAGAAACATGTGTTCCCTGTAGGCTCTTTGAAGACTTAGGGCTCCATAGTCAGTGTAAGGCAGTGAGGGCCAACTGGTAAACATTTTGCCTGCATCCCTCCCTCTTCAGCCCACCTGGTGTCCCTAGTGTCCCCACAGACCCCAGCCTGGGTCCCACTGTCCAGAGAGAAGTCCATGGGTTGGGGCCAGGAGTGACTCCACTTAAGAGTTCCAGTTCCCAACTGCACAGGGGTCACAATGGTGCCTGGACATGCAGAAGGTCTGAGGCCCCAGAGCTGGCCCCCATCATGGTGTGACCCACTGGTGCCAAGTTGGTGCCAGGGCCAGCTTTGAGGGCATGACCTGCACAGTCCCATGGCTGGATGCTCCGAAAGGCCCCACACTTGGTTAAGTGCTCTCCTATCAAATGTGAATTTCCTAATAACTTTGAACTCTGAAAATTCTGTAGCTGACCCGCCAGTTGTGGCATGGAGAGGGCTGGAAATGGGCCTGTTTCTGTGGTTGGAGACAGGAGCAAAGGGAAGGTGGACAGCCTCTGCTTGTCTCCTCCAAGGGTGGAGGAAGGAGGAATCGCAGACAGCAGCAGTGGTTGGGGACAAACTTCTGAAGACCCACAACTACCTCCCTGCCCCATCAACTCCTCTGGAGGGGCCCCCCGGGACCGCAGCAACCTGATTTCTTTCTTTCCAGATTATATATTGTATATTTTTACTTGTTGGATTGTCTTATTCATAGATGCTCCGTGGGGCTAGAGTGTGTTTTGTGCATCCCTGCAGCCCCCGTTTCCTGATTAATATTCGTCAGATGAATTATATCTATAGGTTTTTAAAATAATCATTTCACCTTTAGCATATGTCGCTGTAGTCTAGTAGCCATGGGCTAAATATTGGCTCAGTAAATATCTAATAAATGCCCTTGTCTGATTCATCAGATTCTGCGTTCCACGAGGGCCGCATCCTGGAACTGCGCAGGCACGTAGTAGGACCTCCGGAGACGTCCGGATGCGCGGGCTCCGGCAGCAGACCTCACCCCAAGCTTTCCCCACGCGCTCAGGGCGCGGCGGGGCGGGACCCGGACTACGCTTCCCGGCGGGCCCCGCGCGCCAGGGGCCGGACGGGGGCGGGCCCGGGGCCGCCTGGGGGCGGGGCCGGCTACAAAGCCCGGGGGCGGGCGCCGGGGCGCAGAGTGACCGTAGCGCCGGCCGGAGCGCGGCGCAACCCAGCGCGGCGCGCACGGCGGGAGCGGCCCTCGAGCGGACCGGCCCGGAGGCGCCCCTGCCGCCCAGCTCGCGCGCCGCCGCCGCCCATGCGCGCACCCCCGCGCGGCCGGGGTCCGTAGGCCGCAGGGCGCCTCCCATGCTGCTGCAGCCCGCGCCGTGCGCCCCGAGCGCGGGCTTCCCGCGGCCGCCGGCCGCCCCCGGCGCCATGCACGGCTCGCAGAAGGACACCACGTTCACCAAGATCTTCGTGGGCGGCCTGCCCTACCACACCACCGACGCCTCGCTCAGGAAGTACTTCGAGGGCTTCGGGGACATCGAGGAGGCCGTGGTCATCACCGACCGCCAGACGGGCAAGTCCCGCGGCTACGGCTTCGTAAGTGGCCCCGCGGCCGGCCGGCCGCGCCCTCCAGCCCGCACTTCCCTGGGCCCGGGGCGCCGAGGCCGCCGGCCTCCGCGCAGCCGCCGGGCGCCGAGGCCGGCGCCGCACCTGCTGCCCCCTCTCGGGCTCCGGAGCGGCGGTTCACGCTCCAGCCGGTTCCGCCCCCACTCCCCGCGGCTGGGTCTTCCTGCCCCCACCCCACCCCCCGTTTAAAAGGGGGACCCGCTGTGTTCACCGAGAACTTCCGAGTGTGTGGCGAGGTTTGGGGGTCAGACGACCGTTCTCCGGACTTTCTGGAGCAGCTAGCAGCCTGCGCCCCTGGGCGCTTTGAACCCGTTAGCGCCCCTCCCCCCATCTTTTCCAGCGGTCCCCTGTGCCGCCCGTAATATCACCTTAAGTGAACAGCGGTCTGAAAACAGCCTCGTCCTTTCTAAATACAGCGTCCCCAGACCCCTCCCATGAGGAAATTTAGATGCCCCTGCCTCTGGGGAAGAGGGTGCCTGTCTCCTCTGGGGAGTGTTTCTGTCCCTGAAGGCAAAGCTTTCCTGACACTTGAACTTGGAGGGAGGAGCTGGAATCCAGGGGGCATCTTTGTGGGAGGGCCCCCGGTGTGGTGGGGTCACAGGGGTGGGGGGTGGGTGGAGCCCGCTGCCCTGCACCCTACCAGGGAAGCCTCTGATGCGTTTGTTCCTCTAGGTGACTATGGCCGACCGGGCAGCGGCTGAGAGGGCTTGCAAGGACCCTAACCCCAACATCGACGGCCGCAAGGCCAACGTGAACCTGGCCTATCTGGGCGCCAAGCCAAGGACCCTCCATTCTGGTGAGAGGCCGTTTCCCTTCCCAGGCTTTTGTCAGTTGCTATATTCAGCAACGGTGTCTGTCTAGTGCCACCCTCTGCCCTGCCCTGCCCGCCCCAGGAGTGGCAGTCGCTGTCATGTGCTTGCAGAGCCACCACAGGACAGTCACCCCTAGCTTGGGAGCTGGGCCCCTGCATCTAGCTGGCCTAGCTGCGTGTGCCCGTAGGACAGGGTGAGGAGGGTGTCATAGGAAGTTGGTCTCTGGGGCCTGAGGTAGAAGGACCACAGCCCCCCAGGTCCCTTGACCTGCTTAGCTGGGAGCTCGGGTTCACGTGGGGGTAGCCTGGGAGGGGCAGGGAAGTGGATTATCCTTTGTGGTTGGACTTGTATAGCTGGGGTGTTCTGCATCCCCCGCGAGGCCCAGCCCCTGACTGGTCTCGTTGTAGGTTTTGCCATCGGAGTACAGCAGCTGCACCCCACCTTGATCCAGCGGACCTATGGGTGAGTGGAGCGGCTGGCTGGAGACGGGGTGGGGTTTCCTGGTCTCCCAGTGTGGGTGCCCCTTTCATCCTAGGCCTGCCCACCCCATGGCCTTGGTTGTGCCATTAGCAGCTCCCTTTCTGTGCCTAGAGAACCATCGGTCTTCTGCTCCACCTTTTCAGAAACGTGATTGTGTTTGGGGGCTGGGAGAAGGTGGGGACCATCCGGGAGAATTGAAGGAAGATAGGTTTCGTTTCTCCACCCTGGCAGAGGCCACGCCTCAGAGAGTGGGGAGCAGGGGCTGGAGCCTGCAGCCTGGGTCCAAATCCCGGCTTCTCCCTTACGAGCAAGCGGTCTGGTCTCTGCCTGTTTGCTCACCTGCCAGCGGGGAGGTGGCACACCTCTGATTGCTGAGAGTGCAGGGGTTAGGATGGTGTGACTTGGGGAGGTGAGGAACTGGCGAGCTGGGCTCTTCTCAGGAGCCCCTCTGACCGCCAGTGTCCAACAGATGGTGGCAGGAGGTCCCTGCCAGCCGGGGCCGACGTTTGTGAAGCTGCAGCAGGTGAGCCAGGATCGGGGCCAGATGTCTGGGCCCTGCCAGGCTGGCCTACGGGCCTTTTGTCTGACATGCTCTGGAGCAGCGTGTCCCGCCCTCCTCTGTCCAAAGCAGCCCCCCTCCCCCTGGCTTTTTTTCTTAGAACATATAAGGCCTGGCAGCTGCTTGGGGAAGGACATGCACACTTCAGGGGCACAAAGGAGCTTGCCATGCGGTCTGACTTTCCAGCCCCGTGATTGATGTCGGCTGGGCGCCCCGTGCAGGGAGCTTGTTGTTGGGGTTGGGAGGTGGTTTCTTTGTGGGAGCCGGGGGGACAGTTTTAAAAAGGCAGCTCCTCATAGAACGTTACCACTCCTCAGGCTAGTGGAGACCAGTTGCGTGCATTCATGCGTGCCCCTGCCCTGGAGAGAGGCACGGAGTGAGGAGCGTCCAGCGCGCTGGGGCAGGCGGCGTGGACCGAGGACCAGAGCAGGGATGGAGCCAGTGGGTCAGCCAGATGACGGAGGGACTGCTCCGTGCCCAGACGCGGGGTGCCTGCACGTGGTTTCAGGGTGGATAGCACATGCGTGTGAGCTCAGCCCCAGTCTGCCCTCCTGGGGGAGAGCCTGGAGGGCGGCCGAGAACAGGTGGTTCTGGGTTTCCTTCTCGCCAGGATTCCGCTTTGTAAATGTCTGCAGCTGTCTTGGAAGGGTTTGGGAGACACCCCGGTCTTCCTGCCGTCACCCCAGGTTCTTCCTCTGTGGGGTTCAGGCCACCCGAGGAGGGCGTTCCTCATTTCCATAGCCCTGGCGGTGCTCCCAGCATCCACACCAGGTGCCCCGGGGCAGGGCCAGCTGCACAAAGATCAGGGCGTGAGCCTCCAGCACACGCAGCTCCGTCCTGCTGAAATGCAACAATGCCTTCCCCGCCCCAGCCTGATCCAGCGCAGCTGTCCCTGAGGCCCTAGTATCTGTTGGTGCCTGGCCTCTGGGTCCTGCAGACGTGTGCTCAGATCCTGATTCTGTCACTCACCAGCTGGGTCCATCTTGGCAAGTGATATCCTCTTCCTGAGCCTCAGCTTCCTCCTCTGACACGGGCTGGCACGTGGGCTGGGTGCCCTGCCCCGGCCAGGCCTCCTGTCCTCACGCTGCCCTCTGAAATGGTGATTGACAATCCTCTCTTCATAGAAAGGGAAGCTGAGGCAAAGAAAGGTTGAAGAAAAGGTTAACAACCGGTCTAGGGTGGCTGGAGTGACAGGATTTGAACCCAGGCCAGTTCTAGAATCCATGCTCTCAAACCCTGTTCGCTGGTTGGGGATAAGGGGTGAGAGGGATGCCTGACCTTGCCCTTGGGGTCCCCAGAGCGTCACCCCTTTTAAGGTAGTTGGTATCGGTCACAGATCTTTCTGCCATGCGTGCCCCACCTCAGGTGACAATGTTTTGTAACTGAAGCTGCTGGCTGGCCATTTAATACCTGTGGTGACGGGGAAGAGGCCTCCAGCTATTTGCTGGTTGCCAGGGGGTGGACGCCCAAACGGACAAGGGATTACAAGGACGGTCCGTGGGCCGGGGGACTGACGTCGCAGAATCTCGCTGCCTCCCCCGCACCAGGCCTGGGTGAGGCCTTGGGTGCGTTTCCCAGGAGAGGTGGCTGGGAGGGCCGCCTGGGTCAGCTGCTCGCTGCCCGGGCGGGGAGTTGGGCTGTCAGCGTCCCTTTTGTCTTTGCAAACAATTGGGCTGGGGAGTGTGGCCGGGCCTGACTCAGCGGTCAGTTTTGTCAGCTCCGGGCTGGCAGGGAGGCCAGGCCTGCTGTTGGCTGAGGGCGCTGTGGGAGCCGGAGCCTGGGCAGCTCGGTTTGTACACTGGTTAACCCCTCTCCTGCCTGGCTGGCCTTCTTGGTCCCCACTTCTGGGCAAGGCTTCTGGAATTCCTCCCCGGCTGGGCCACATGTCATTGTGGGAAGAGTCACCACAGAAGTAGGTGGTTGAGATCTGTCAGGACCTGACTCGCCAACTGCACTTCCTTCATGTGCCCATTTATAGGACCGAGGCCAAGTGATGAGGGGCTTGATCAAGGCAGGAGAGCGGCCCTTTGCTGGCTGGCGGGACAGTCGGCAGGCTGCGGCAGGAGTGAAGGTCAGAGCAGTGGAGAGCCTTGGCTCTGGCCTGGAAGGGGCCGCCTAGTGTCGGATGGTGTTTGTTCATGCTTGGGCCCGAGGCTGCCAGGATCTGAGGCTGGGCCTGGGCCTGCCTGCTCTTGGAACCCCCCTTGCGTTATTTTTGAAGGGCCAGCTGCTTCCCTGGGCACAGCCTACCCACCCTATTCTTACGAGGGCCATGCTGTGGACCCCGCACCTGCTTTCTGTGCTTCCTGCTCTGCCAGGCATGGGGCCAGGCCCCTGGGGCCCAGATGACAAGATGGAGTCTTGGGGCAGCTGGGTGTCAGGTGTGCTGGAGCAAGGATCCTGGGGTCTGCCTGGGTTCGAGGCCAGGCCAGCCCTTTTTCTGGGCTCTTCTCCCCGTTTGGACAGTGGGAATGCCTCCCGCTGAGAGAGCGAGCGCTCTGTGCTGAGTGGTCGATGAGGCCTGGCCCACGGGAAGGCCTGGGATTGTCCGTGATGAGTCGGACAGTGCTCCCTGACAGGGTGTCACTCCGGCCTCCAGTGCAGGCAGCAGAGGAGAAACTTGCCTAAGCTCTCGCAGTGTGGGCGTGGGGGCCGTGGTTCCTTCCATGAGGCCCAGCACCTCCCTCTGGCCAGCCTGGGACTGAACCCACGACCTTCTCCCAGGCATTGCTCACCCTGCCTGGCCTGTAGTGTCAGGGGCCCCGCATCTCTGTGTGGAGGTCCCGCTGCCTCCATGGAGACCTGCAGCTGTGAATGTGCGTGTGCAGGGTCTGCATGGGCCGCCCACCACCAGGACAGGAGAGGGGTCGGGCCTGGGCCGCACGTACAGGGCTGTTCCCAGAATCGTTCATTCATTGATTGCTTGCTGAACGCCTGCTGTATGCCAGGCCCTGTGCCCGGAACACTTAGAGTAAGAGACCCCGTCCCCGTCACGGGCTCGCTGCCCAGTGGGGTCACCAGACTCAAAGCCAACAGGGCACTCAGCGGGGGGGGGGGGGGGGGGGGGGGGCACTCGGGAGCCCGTGAGCGGCTGGGGGTGCAGCTGGGCAGGGCGTTCCCTGTGGGCGTGGCACAGCCTTGCTTGGGCTGTGTGTGTGAGTGTGTGTGTGTGTGTGTGTGTGTGTGTGAGTGTGTGTGTGAGTGTGTGTGTGTGTGTGAGTGTGTGTGTGTGTGAGTGTGGGACTTACACACCAGGACACGTCAAAACCTGGTGAAATCCCACCTGGCCGGGAGCCTGGTTAACAGTCACATGTGTGTTGGTTCCTGGCTTAGGTAACGAGCTGGTTATAAGACCTCACATCGGGGGACCTCTCTGTACTATTTTTGCAACTCCTTGGGAGCCTTTCGCTATTTATAACATGACGTAAATAAAGCTGGGGGAGGGGAGGTGCCGGGCATGGGGGAGTCGGTGCCTTGAGGGCACAGAGGAAGTGAGGTCAGAGCTAGGAGCTGAGGGCGCAGGAAGGTCTGTGCCCTCTCCCCGCTGTGGGGCGTCACGTGGCTTGTTTTTACTTTCAGGGTGTCTGGGTGCCTGGCACTTCCTGTTTGTCACTCCCTGGAGTGAACGGGGGCGGGTGGCCCGTGCACACCTGCTGTTTGTGCCCGTCTGCCGCAACAGAAACCAGCCTCCGCCGGCCTCCAGCGGTTCTGGGGTTCCTCGGGGAGGAGGAGCCCCTCGCCTGCCCTCCTGGCCCGGCAGGAGAGCCTTGTCCACAAGCCCCAACCCAGGGGAGGCCAGACCGGCCAGGCTGGTGCAGGCTCTAAATGCCCTCACAGGGAGTGCCCAGGTGGGCCAGCCCCTTCCTGCCACCGCTGGGTGACGAGTCTGGAACCCCTCTTGACGTCCTTGTCCTTGTGACTTGCCTGTTGAGCCTCAGTTTCCCCATCTGCCAAGTAGACATGACAGGGGCTCCTTGGCGTGCTTGGGGCATCCAGTCATTCTTCCCCCCGCCCCCAACATAGTGCCAGAAGGAAGCCGTGCGGTCAGCCGGCCAGTTCATTCAGCAGGTACGCGCTGGCTCGGTGCCAGGCTGGGCTGGGTTCCCCTCTGTGGTTCCAGAGCATTCTGCAGCAGAGTGGTCCTGGGAAGGGGACAATTGTGTCTCTGCTGGCAGCAGGCTCTGGAGAGAAAGCCCCAGGCAGGGGAGGAAGTGGGAGGTGTGTGTGCAGCAGGTGGCCGTGGGGCCCAGGGGAGCTTTGGGGTTTACTCTGAGTGCCAGGGAGGCCCTGAGCGGTGAGGGCCGGGTCACTGTGTCTCTAATAACCTCTCTGGCGGCTGGGCTGCCAGGCTGGAGTGGAGGGGTCCACGTAACCAATCAGCTCGAGGCCATGGCGGCTGCTCCCTGGGGCGAGAAGGGGGCTTCTGAGTACATTTTAAGGGTGTGTCAGAGAAAGGGGAACCCGAAAAGATTCCAGAGCTTCTGGCCGGAGCAGATGGGGTGGAAGATAGGGTTGGTCTTGGAGGTGAGGGGAGGCCGGTGTGGGGTGCCCTTTTGGGGGAAGAACATGTTCTGGTGGAGAGGCTGTGCCAGGGCCTGGCGTGGTCCCAGCAAGGACACCTCCTCTGCTCGAGTCCCGCGCCCCCCTCGCACCTGCCTGTTGTCTGATGGCCCGGCAGGGCCTGAGGTCGCGCCTCCAGAGGCCCCGCCTCCAGTGCGTGAGCAGAAACCTCCAGAGAGCAGAAAAAGTGAAACCAACCCATTTGCCTTTTTTTATTTTTACCTTGGGAGGTAGTTTTGCATTCAGAAATGGGCCTCCAGGCTGTGGCCGGAGCCTTTTCACTGCGAGTTTTGCTTTTTGAGTGTGGGCAGATGGGTCGTCTGGCCTGTGGTCTGAGCTTGGTGAGGAGGCTGGTACGTTACGTCACTGGGCAGTCTCCCGCAGGATCTCGCCTCGCCGTGGTGCTAGGAATTCTCGGCGGCCGGCTGAGAAGTGCACATGTTGGCAGCACCTCCTGCTTCCACCACTGGATGCCAGAGGCACGCCACTGTGACTGCCGGAATGTCCCAATGTGGCATGTCCCCTGAGGGCAGGCACTGTGAGAACCGCTGTCCCAGTGGAGGGTCTCGGTTCTCACAGCGAGCTCTGAGGCCACCCTCAGGACCCACTGCACAGACAGGAAAGCCCCCGACTGTCCCAGGCACAGCTGCGGGGCAGGTGGGGGCTGCCTGGCGGGCTCTGCGCCTCCTGCCCCTCCCCTGGGCTAGCTGTTTGTGGTGTCCTGGCCTCAGTGCAGCAGGACAGACCACCAGCAGCTGCCGCGGCTTGGGCAGGTGCTCACGGTACCCGGACCACTCTCCCATCTGGGTGGACCTTGGAGTGGGTCTGGGCCCTCTGCCCCAGCCTGCAGCCAGTCCTGTGGGCACAGGTACCGGGCGGGGGGCGGGCAGACGGACGGATGGACAGGGGCAGACTGCTTGCTGTGGGGCTGCACAGTTACTCAGGCCTCTGTGTCAGCCTCGGTTTCTCACTCTTGGAAGTGGGAAAACAACAGTACCTTTTTCATGGCTGTGGGAAGCTATGAAAGTTGTCTTGGGGTTTCACACACTGAGTGGTGGGGTCAAGCACTGAGGGGAGTGGGTAAATACATGCAGACAGCATCCCCAAGGGACAGGAAGCGGGTCCCTTTCCTCCCCAACTTAAACATTGTTCACCTGATGGTGTCAGTGCCGCCAGCAGGGCAGCTCCGATAGCCTCCGATAGGGGCAGAGGAGGGAGTGGAAACCTGGTAGATGGCACAGCTGCCTGCCTGAGCCGGCCGGACCTTGAGGCAGGTGTGGCCGTGAACCTGTCATTGTAAAGCGCCAGGTGCTTGTGCTGTGGACAGTGTGAGGCCCAGTCTAGGCGGTGGTTCCTGAGGGCGGGTGCATGTTAGAGTCTCTGGGGCTGTCAGTTGCAGGGTCCTGGACCCACCCGTCCACCTGCAGCCGGTGAGGATCCGGGTTCTTAGCCAATTCCTGGGGAGTTGGGGTAGGGCCAGCCCTGCCTGTGCCGGGAGGAGTTGTGGGCTCAGAGCTTCCGTAGCTTCACGTGAAGGAGCGTTCTGAGGTGGGGACTCCCGCGGTGGGTGGCACCACGCTGACGATGGCCAGGACGGCGGCTGGTGGGCACGCCCCAGGGCATGCTGTATCCTATGTCGTTTGCTCCTTCCCCGGAGGCCTACGCACCACGGGGCCCCTCATCTGCCTGGAGGGTGAGGGCCTGAGGGCTAGGTGCTGGGGCAGAGCTCACCCTCAGCTGCTCACTGAGACTCGGGGGGGGAGACGGCCCTGGAGCTCCAGCTGTGTGCAGTCGCCCTCCTCCTGGAGCTCCCCCTCCCTCCCGTCTGCTCAGCAGCAGTCCTGGCCCAGAGCATAGCCGGGGCAGGTGAGAGCCGAGGTGGGATTCGAACCCAGCCTGGCTCTGTTCACGGCTCTTGTTCCCAGGTGGTGGGCAGCAGAGGCTTCTAATTGGGGGGAAGCTGGCAACGTGACCGGAGCCAGGGATCTGGGAGCACCTGGGGCATGGAGCCCTGTGTGCCCCAGACTCTCCTCCCTCAGGTGTTTGTGCAGGGCCCGGGGGCCCCCAGCGCTGTCCTTCTCCCCAGCTCTGCCCACGCCGAGCCCAGCCAGCACCGGCCCCGGTGCTTTGCCCCTGCTCAGGGTGCCTCACCTATGAGCTCGCACCGCTCCTCTGAAGGCGTTAGCACCTTTACCAGGTGTGCAGCCATCAACGCTGTGATTGTAATCCAGCACCCCCCCCCCCCAGCCCCAGGGGACCCTGAGCACTCCCCGCACCCCCAACAGCCCCGGGAGGCCCTAAGCACTCCCCCCCTCCGCAGCCCCAGGAGGCCCTGAGCACTCCCCCCCCCCCCAGCAGCCCCAGGGGACCCTGAGCACTCCCTGCACCCCCCACAGCCCCAGGAGGCCCTAAGCACTCCCCCCCCCAGCCCCAGGGGACCCTGAGCACTCCCTGCACCCCCCACAGCCCCAGGAGGCCCTGAGCACTCCCCGCACCCCCAACAGCCCCAGGAGGCCCTGAGCACTCCCCCCCCCCAGCAGCCCCAGGGGACCCTGAGCACTCCCTGCACCCCCCACAGCCCCAGGAGGCCCTGAGCACTCCTCCCCCCCCCCCAGCAGCCCTAGGAGGCCCTGAGCACTCCCTCCCCTTCAGCAGCCCCAGGGGACTCTGAGCACTCCCCGAACCCCCCACAGCCCCAGGGGACCCTGAGCACTCCCCGCATCCCCCTGCAGCCCACCCGCTCTGCCCTCTCTGGATTTGCTGTTGTAGGTGTTTCCTGTTGATAGGATCCCACAGTGGGGGCCTGTTGTTCTGGCTGCTCTCCCTCAGCATGATGTCCTCGGGGCTTGTCCCACATTGTAGGGTCAGAAGTGCATTCCTTTTTGTGGCCGAATAATATTCCGCAGCTCGAGTCACCACAGCCTGCTTACCCTCCCCCACTCCAGTGCACGATGGATGTTTCTACCTCTGGCCTGTTGTGACTGGTGCTCTTTATTCCTGATGAGGAGTCTGGAATCTGACTTCCTTCAAGTTACCTGACTATGGTAACTCAGCTCCATTTACAGAATGCCGTGTAAAGCTCATGCTGCCATAAAAATGGTAGCTTCACGCGGCTCAACCTCACCTGTCCTTCGCACGTGTACAGATACACATTTGTTCTTGTAGCATAAGCAGCTTTACCATTAGCGTAGATCCCTCCCTTTTTCAGTAACAGCAGCTCTGTGCTGCTGCTCGGCTCTCCTGACGCGGAGGGGAGAGGCTGGGCCCAGTCGTTTTCCTGCCACGTGCGGTGTGGTCTGGGGGACGTTGGCCTGCCTTGTCCGCTGGGCCTGATGCATGGGTTTTTCTGGTTTTCATCAGTCCCGTGCGCCTGCCTTTACTGTGGAGTGAGGGCTTCTCTCGGTGCGGGGGAGCCTGCCCAGGGGAGGGAGCATACGCCCTGGGGGCCACTTGCTGCCCAGATGCTCTCCAGGCTGCTGGCCCTGTTCCTGCCCCTGCCAGGAACCTTTTCCTTTTCCTTTCAAAGCAGCTTCTCTTTGGAGCGGGGGCAGGGCAGGGATCCCGAGCCCACCTTATAGTGAAAGGAAGTTGGGGTCCCACCTCACCCCTGTGGTGGCCCCTTCCTGTGTAACTTGTGCTCGTAGAAGGAGGAGATGCCTGCAGCAGTGCTGCCTGCCCCACAAGGTCCCTGTGTCCAGCGAGCTGTGAGGCTCAGAGAGTCTTAGCCATTTACCCAGGGCAGCCCAGCGGCTGGTTGGCAGAGTGAGCACATGCTGATACTGCCTTTCCTTGCCTCAGTTTCCTGCCTGTGACATACTGAGTTGATCCCTACCCTGGAGGGCCGGGTGTGCAGTGGCGAGGCCGTGGTGGGACCAGCATGGCAGTTAACAGGGTCTGGGAGTCCCAGCTCCTCTACTCTGTCGCCATGGGGCCTTGGGCCAGCTACTGAGCTCCGTGTGTCTGTTGTAAAATGAGGTGCCAGTGCGAAGGCCGACCTGAGGGCTGGATTTCACAGTCACCCCGGGTCCGGGTGCGCTGCTTGGCTGTTGGCTGCTCCTTCCCGAACCTCACCATCGTCATTGCTGCACGCTTTTCCGCCTGCGTTTCTGGATCGCCCACCCTGCACCGCTGGGCTGCTGGGAGCCAGGCCCGCAGTCCGTGAAAGGAATGAGCATCTCTGGGGGAGCTGTCACGGGTGGGGAGGTAGACGTGGTGACTCGGCACACTGTAGGTGTCCTTTTGGGGGGCAGATGCTGGGGAGGTGAAAGGGAAGAATGAGACAGGGCGGGCTTCATGGGCAGGCAGCGTGGGCAGTCACATGGTACCCATGCGCAGAAGGGCCCGAGCTGGCCTCGATGCCTGCTGTCACCCTCCTAGGATTCCCAATCACTTTCCAGCATGGTCCCCAATCATGACAGTGGTCCTGTGGGGTCCCCAATCATGTCGGTGGTCCTGTGGGGTGCAGGGTGGGAGGGGTGCCTGGGAAAGGCCCACTGAAGGGGGCATGTTTACATCCAAACTTGGAGGAGGGAGGGTGGCAGGCACAGCCAGGGCACAGGCCTGCACAGCTGGCGTGTTCCAGCCACAGAAGAACAGACTGGGGACAGGGACACAGCAGCTCCCAGCTCTCCAGGTCCCTCCTGGAGCCAGCGTGTTGCCTGCCCCTCAGCCCTCTCTGTTTGGCCCCACAGGCTGACCCCCCACTACATCTACCCTCAAGCCATCGTCCAGCCCAGCGTGGTGATCCCGGCCGCCCCCGTCCCATCGCTGTCCTCGCCCTTCCTGGAGTACACGCCGGCCAGCCCAGCCTACACCCAGTTCCCCCCAGCCACATACGACCAGTACCCGTACGCCGCCTCGCCCGCCTCCGTGACCAGCTTTGTGGGCTACAGCTACCCGACCGCTGTGCCCCCCGGCCTCTCGGCCTCAGCCCCCACGGGCGCCACCTTCGTGCAGTACCAGCCTCCGCAGCTGCAGCCCGACAGGATGCAATGAGGCCACTGCCCCCTCGAGGCCCCTCACCCACGCACCCACCAGGCAAGTGGCCGGCCAAGCTCGGGGTGCACACCAGCACCTGTGCCTCTGGGGACCCCGCAGGACCCCCCACCTGCAGGACCCCCTGGATGGCCTGGAGACCAAATCCCTTTAAATCCAGGACCCCACACATTTCGAGGGAGGACTTGGAGAGAAAAGCGGGAGCTCTAGAAGATGCAGCCGGACCTCCCCGCACACACATCTGCCTTCTCCCTTCTCCCTTCACCTCCCTCCCTCTCTCCCACCCGAGCTCCGGGCTGAGGTCTCCCTGCATCTGTGAGGCCTCCTGCCCTCCACAGGGCCCCCCCCTTGGGCTCTGCGGAAACTGTCCTGCTCAGAGATGCCTTACTTCAGGGAAACCTGAAGGAGCGACGTGAATTGACTGTTGGTTGTCGCTCGTTCTGCACAAGCTGTGAACGCGGAGGCCGTGTGCAGGGAGGCCGCCTGTGGAACTCTCCTTTCCGGTCTCTCCCGCCAGACCCCGGGGCTCAGTGCCGCGGCCCCCAGCCGGCTTCCCCGCCCTCCAAGCACTGCAGCCTCTTTTCTTACTGTCATTGTTTTGCTACTAAGAAGATTCAGAAGTTCAGTTTATTTTTTCAACGGAGGCTCCTGCCCCCAGGGAACCAGAACCTGTTTGGAACCAGAACCTGTTTTTGACTTTGAGACTCACTTTTGTCCGTGGCTCCGCCTGAGGAGAAGGACAGTATTTCTTTTTGAAAAGGTGTCTGTCTGTCGCTGGAGCACCCGGAGTCCCTCGGAGGGTGGGCATCTCCAGGTCTCTCTCGGTAACAGTAAGTTGTCTCAGAAGCCTGTCTCCACCCCTGCTGCGCCTGCAGGGACAGAGCGAGGTGATGCTGGCTGAGCACCCCCGCCTCCTCAGTCCCTGTTGCACCCAGCCTGGCGGGGACCCGCCTGACGCCCTGCCTGCCTAGGGCTGGGTGCAGAGGGAGGGAGTGACGGCTCCCGAGGCGGCGGGAGGGGGCGGTGAGGGGCAGCCGGCCAGGGGGTGGGGGAGTGTGGACGGAAGGTCAGGGGGCGCTGGGGGTATTCCTTCAGACCTACCTCAGGGAAGCGGGAGGCTCAGGGCTGACTGGCGCAGGCGGTGCTCCTGGTCCACAGTCAAGTCCCAGGAAATACCGGTAGCTAATGTTATAATAATATTTTTATTAGAACGTTCTGATTATAAAAATAAAACTTGTTTTCTTTAAAGAAAAAGCTGGTCTGTAACAATTCTCCACATGGGTGCCTTCCATTCCCTGATACAGTGGTCATGGGCAAGTCGGGGCCATGGGGGTGTCAGTCACACCTGGGCCCTCCTGGCCGGGACTTGAACCTGTTCACTGAGCGTCTCCTGAGCCGGCCTGCGGGCATCCAGAGTGATGGGATAGACACGGCCCCCCAATATCACCCGCCCTCAGATGCTTCCTCACTCCGCAGTCTGCCTGACACCCCAGGGGAGAGCATAGGGCCCAGTGAAGGTGGGGTTCTCCAGAGCAGGGCCCTGAGGGCAGGGGCTCAGTGTTGGGATGGATGGCCCCAGCAGAACCCCTGGAATGGGGAGACAGCTCCCCAAGAGACCTGAGGAAGGAGTAAGGGCTGCCGAGAGGAAGCAGGTGAGTGCTGGCAGCCAGGTGGGGCACAAGGTCAGAGTTAGGAAGGCAGGTCTGGTCTGAGGCTGAGGAGCCCCAACCTGGGGATAGACCCAACATCTCCCAGAACTTGGCTGGAGCCCCACTCAGCACTGGGGAAATCACAGGCATCACAGAGGAGGGGTTACGGCTGGGGAGGATATTAATTCAGTCACTTTTTAATTGCTCGTTCATTCATTCTAAGAAATGTGTGCTGGGTCATGTGCAGAGCACTGGGGATAGTCATACACAGTCTAGTGGGATAGACACAACAGACATGCAAATGGAGTAATTTCAAACACCAATCACACTTTGAAGGAAATAACACAGGGTGGTGGAGAATGACTGGATTCTAGGCAGAGGGAACAGCAAGTGCAAAGGTCCTGGGGTAGGCTGAACTGGCCAAGGAGGCCAGGGTAGCTGGAGGAGGAGCAGTGAGGGGAAGAGGTAGATAAACTTTGGGAGGTGGTTGCTGGAGCTGGGGAGACAGCCGAGACCCAAGGGATGGTCTGCTGTGAGCAGCTGGGGAGGGATAGCAGTACACAGATGCTATTGGCAAACTCAGTGCAGTGTGACTGGCTCTATCGGGGAAGTCCCCTGAACTTGGGGGACGGGGGAGGGGATGGCAGCTGGACTGCAAGAGGAGGGTTCCCAGTGATCTCCAGGAATGGAATGGGCGCTCCTGGTAAGGAGGTCAGACTGAGCAGAGGCTCAGAGGTCCTGGGTATGACCTTCTTGGGGGCAGTCACTGTCCAGGCACCAGGCTTGTTCTCTGACCTTGCAGAGCAGGGCTGGGCCCCAAACATGCAATCTGACCCCGTCTCCCTCACCTTTCACACAGCGGCCAAGCCAGATTCAAGTCGCTCTGAATTCCCTCTCACTCTCACATCCACGTCTCCTCCAGCTCAGAGCCCTTTGTGGCTCGCCATTTGTGGGCCCTCAAAGGAAAAGCCAAAGTGGTTACTGTGGCCTATGAGGCCCTGGCCTTGTTGCCTCCTGCCCACACCTGGCACAACTCACCCCAGGGCCTTTGCACTTGCTGTTGACTCCTCTAGCTTTCACCAGATGAACTCCATCCGCTCTCAGCCGAAAAGTTTCTTTGTTCCAGAGCCTCCTCTGACCCTGTCTCAGTTGAGGCAACATAACTGTGTCCCCCTTTCATTTATGTCCTCATCTGTCCCTATCCCCCTCTCCTCATTGGCACACTGACTCCAGAAGGGTGGGGGTTTCTGCCTCGTTCCCCCAAATGTAGAGCCGTGCCAGGCCCAGCAGGGAAGCTGAGGCCTGCTAACATTCTGAACTTGGTTTAGCCGGTGGCCAGTGGGCATCAGAGATTTCTAGCGAAGGACGCAGTGGGAGTTTGGGGACCATCCATTCAGATCAGAGCGTGCTCTGCAAACTCAGTGCATAGTCATAAACAGTCCAGTGGGATAAACGCAGCTCTGACCCTGGAGAGGTTGGGGCCTGGATTGGAGAGGGGGGACCGAGACCAGAGTCACTGCAGAGTCCACACGGCTCGGGGCAGTTACTCCCGGAGAGAGGAGCAGCCACGCGGAGCTGGACAACAGTCTGACCCCACCACAGTGCCACGACAGCTCTCCGTGGTCAGCCCTTAGCGCTGAAGTGAGACAGGGTCACCCTCATCCGGGGAGGGGGTTCGTGGTGGACCTGGGACCTTCCCTGTACCAGGTCCGGGGCCCCCAGGGGGCTCCTGGGGCCTTTTCCAGGCATTTTGACTTGGAGATTTGTAAATCCCACTTCAGTGGTCCAGTGCCCCCAGCCTCTGCCTAGGAAGTAGGGTCAGGGTTCTCGTCTCGGGGTCAAGCCGGGTGAGATCCTGCCAGGCAGGGTTCCCTCTTCTTTACTGGGACCCTTGCCTGTCCCTCCTGCCTGTCCTCTCTCGCCAGCTGGGTCTCAGTTTGCAAACACTGGCAAGGGTCAGGGAGGTCCTCCTGGGGCTGCCAGCCCAGAAGAGACATTTGCTGCAGCTGATAAGGGTTTGGGGGCGGGGAGGGGGTTGCGGGTGCTGCCAGGGTTATCTGGAGGGCCACGCTCGGCCAGCCCACTTCCTGTCGCTATCGGCCAGTGGCAGCCTCTAGGACATGCCGTGAGGCCTCAAAAAAACATCCTCCTGGGGCCGGGGATGGCGGTGCTGCCAGGAGCAGCTTCCGAAGTCTCTGGCCAGTGACACCGGAGGCAGCCACCTGTCGCTGCAACGGTCATGGCAGACTTCGACAGTGACCACCGGCTCTGGCCCGGCACTGACAGGCAGGCGCTGTGCCAAGCTTTTCCAGGGTTGGCCTCCGTTCTCCGTGAGGTGAACTCTGTCCCCACTGCACAAACGGAGGATGGAGACCCCGAGGAATGGAGCCCCCGAGAGGAGGTGGCTCACAGGGCCCAGAGGGAAAGCTGGCAGTAACTGAGGGTGGAGGTGAGGAAGACACCCTCATCCTGTGGACCCACCCAGGCCCACCTAAGGGCGAAGGACCCCTTGTTTCCAGTCAGTCAACACAATCACCACCACCCCTGCTTTGGTCACGAGAACGGACATTTATGGCGAGCTCTCTGTGGCTTTATGGCTGTTCTCCCCCGGAACACTCCCAGCCGGTGCTGGGACATTGATGGGGTCCAGTTCACAGATGGAAAAACGGAGGCTGGGGAGATTCAGCCCCTTCCCGAGTCCAGAGAGCGGGAGTCAGAATGGGCACCGGAGCATCCCGAACGTGGAGGCCGCATGCCGCCCTGCTCGGGCTCGGCTCAGGGCTCCACCCCCACCCCGGGCTCCCCCACCTCCCTCACCCCAACGCCAGCTCCCTCAGCTGCTGAGTCACCCTTGTGTTTGTCCCCCAGAGACATGCACACCAACCCGGGAACCCCCTGGGGTTGGGGACCGTCCTGATACAGTGAAAATAGCAAGGCAGCTGCTCAGTGTACCCTGGGCTGGGCGTCTGCAAGGGCACGGCACAGGGTGGGCACCTGGCCTTCCAGATACCCCCCGGGCCTCCTGCAGCGGCTGATAAGTGCCCTCTCTGCTTATCAGCCCCGCTCTCTCGCCTGCTCTACCCCAAACCTGTGTACACACTGGGGTGCACAGCAGCTTGGAGAGCAAGGGGGGCGAACCCCCACAGCCTGCCCCTTCAGCTGAGCCAGATACACCAAAGGCAACTTGGAGCTCTTGGGGCCTTCTGCTGGCTCCCCCGTTCCCTGGCCCCTGGTGGGCATTTTTAGAGAAATTAAATATAAAGGTGGTTTTCCCCCCTAAATTATAAAATTAACACTGCTGGGGGGAAGTTTTCAAAACAAAGGGACTGTATTAAATCACCCCCATATGCGTATGGGCAGCGGCAGGAAGGAGACAGCAGGCAGGAGCAGTAGGGGCCACAGGAGTCCGGCTTCTCTCTCAGCACCGCTCTCTATGGTTTACAGCTGAGCAATAAAAACTGGAAAATGCTGTTTGGCATGTGTTCCATATTGCAGTTGTGTGGACACAGTCCAAATGCGAGCAGGGTGGGCGTTTCCTGCATCCTGGCCTTGCCATACGGCTCTCCTGGTGTCTCTGATGGGCCTGAGCTGGGTGGGGTCCAGAGGCTGTTCTTGTTGCCTCCTGTCCCTTGACTACAGTAACTCGCTCCCTCCTCTAAAAAGGGAACTTCAGAATGTGCTGCTCCGGCGTAGAAGCCTCTGTGGCTCCCCATTGCCCTGGGATTAAATGCCAGGTCCTCGCCACGGCCTCCAAGGCTGGGGTGAGCTGGCCTGCCGCCTCTCTGCTGCCTCTCTGAGGAGCCCCTCTTGTCTGAGACACAGGCCGGCGCCCTCCGCGTGCAGTGCCTTCCTGCAGACATGCAGGCCGTGTGCCCGTCTCTGCTGCCTCCAGGCCACCTCCCTCACTCTGCACCTGCTCACCTGCCTCCTTCAGAGCACGTACTAGGGTTTGCACTTCTCGGTGCATTTTCCTGTTTCCCATCCTGGACCGTGAGCTGGGAGGGGGCAGAAGCATGTCATACACACCCTTATCCCTGATGGCACTCAGCCATGGTGCCAGTGCCGGCACATAGCGGGGCACTTCAATACCTGCTGAACATAGAGTTCTGAAGAGTTTTAATGAAAAGATCTTCAGAGCTGAAAAGCTGTTGGAGGCGGTGAGGAGTGCGTCTTCACGAGAGAATGCACATGGAGGGAGAGATGGGTGCCCTGGTCACAGGCGTGGGAGGGAGCGAGGGGCTGACCCGGGAAAGGCCCCCAGACTCCAGGCGCCGGGAAAGAGGAGGCCACCTAGACTAATGGGGATGGGGGAGAGATAAGCAGCTGGGTGACTCCCTCCCCACCCGGGGCCTTCTGGGATCATTGGAGTCACCCGTGGGAGTGTGGGATGGGACGCCTCCCGCCGGCTCCTCTGGGGCAGCCTGGCCCTCCTCCAAGGGCCGAGGAATTCCATTTTGACCATATCTGTCCCTGAGCCCAGCGGCCGCCCTGCGGGCTCTGGTGTAAGTGTTGGTTTATTTACCCAGTGTCCCAGCAAAGCACACTCCGCTAGTGGCTGGTGCACAAGTTTGGGAACATGGCCTGGGGCAGGGGACAGTC